GATAAACATAAACAATTACAATATATATTTTTGAAAGCATTCTTACTTTATAGCACATTTTCACACCTGCCTAAAACTTTTGCACAGTACTGTAAGTTCCAAGTTTGCAGAATTATCTACTAGCCCTTAAGAAGCTAGTGGCAATGAAGCACAGCCTTCTGTGTTTTTAGCAGTACGAGATTGGTAATCCATCAGTATTATAACTGCTTGGACCTTACCAGTTTAATGCAAAGCTGAAATTGTGAAATAGTGGAATGATGGGACCAAACAACAGAAGAATCTGGAAGTCAGTTTAGGCTATGACGGTCTGGAGTGTTGGAGGAGGAGCACAGGAAGGAGCCTAGAGATGACAGAGTCCTGCAGCGTGACCCCAAATTCCTCCTGTACTTCCCCGATTGGTGGATGTTTTTCCCACTGGCTGACATGCTAAAGAGGGAGGGCAGCAGAGCCGGAGCAATCAACAAGAACTGGGCCTCTCGTGCTTAATCTGGATAGCTCAGTTCAGCAATGAGTCAGAACAGAGCCAATAGAAGCAGGGTAGGGGTCATTTCTTGTCAAAGTACCCTGTGGTCTTTTGGGGTTTTCTTTATGCATTGCATCCATGGGGAACCAGACCCACAGGGCTTGCACAACAACTGCTGGTTCAGACAATGGAGGCAGGCCAGTAGAGATGGTTGGCCCCCTTCTCCACTAGGTGCTATGGAAAATAGGATGCTGGAATAGATTCACCAAGGCTTTTCTTATTTCGTACATGTGCTCAGTTTAATGTTTGTTCTGCTAGCCAGCTGTTAGATTTTATAGCTGTGATTATTTTGCTAACAATGTTATTAATGGATTGATTTGGGTCCAGTGTCCTCTACTGAGATTGATGAATGTTTTGGCTAAGCCAGAAGCCAGCTGGATGGAGGCTCTGATGTCATGCAAACGAGCAGGGTGCAGTTCCTGAAAAGTTGGTTCTCTTTGACCAGGCCTTTGTTATTTCCCCTTGGGGGCAGTAGAAGGAGAATGAAAGCATTGCAGCTGAATATATGGTAGCTTCCCTGAAGGAAGAGGAGCATTTGGAAGGAAGGAAGATAAAAATGTAGTACCAAACCTGCCTCTTCACAATCTTGCTCTTGATTTTCTGTGGCCCCTGTTGCTGTTCTCTCAACAGCAGGCTGGGACCCAAAAATGTAAGAAATGCTTTAACTAATCTGACACACCCGTGTTTCTCAATCTCAGCAACTTTAAGATGTATGGATTCCAACTCCCACAATTCCCCAGCCAGCATACATTAGACTATCTAGCTAATTTAGTACATTGCCAGCCCTGACTGGGTTTCACATCCTGTTAACCTGTAATGTATTTGTTAGTCCTTGGTTTAGTGTATTGCACAAAAGACAGTGTTTAGTAAATCATGGTTTATGGCTTATATGTGAATGCAGGTAGTTGAGGTTTAGTCAGTATCATAGCTAAACCACAGTTTAGGATTGTGCGTAAACCCAGTTGCTTGCTATATTGACATGATAGACTTACCCATGGATAACTTAACCATGGTTTACTGAATTAACCCACAACACTCCTATCTCATGCTAACCACACAGGCTGGATTAAGTATATTAGGCCAAAATCTGGTTGACTAGCATATGATTCAGTCTGTTGTGGGAACACAGCCACCAACTGCCAACCTCTGCCTGGGTTTCAAGCAGAATGTTTCCCAACCTGCCTTGGAAATACAAGAGCTGAATCAAAATTGTCTGAATGTGAAGCATGTGATACTGTTGAGGTACAGGAACTTGTATTTCTGGTATGGGTTAATAAATTATAACGGAGACCAGTTCTATCAAGGGTGCCTTACGGGAAAAGAACATAATTCCTGCCAGTCGGGAAAAATCCACACAGGGTACATTGTGGCTTTGCATGTCAAGGGCCTCTTATGATGTTTGTATTGTTTGTCTTTTATATTATTGCCCTGCCTTATAAATGTGATTTATCTGGCAAATGCAGAACTGAGGCCAGTGTCTTACAGATAAAATTCAGGCCAATATTGTTTTTTGACAGTTTTAATGGAGCTGTGTCATCCAGCCTGGCTGAAGGCCTGGCATATAAAATATAAAATATGAGCGCTATTTATGTTTGAAAAGATGAATCTTAAAAGCTTTTATGAGCTCTTGGGGAACAATAGAAAATATATGGGTATGTTGTACATCTTGACTGACTGACTGAGGTTTTAAAGCTTAAAATTTAAAAGCCTAGAACAGTTGATGATAAACTTTTAAATTAGTCTTTCCCAACTTGATAGCTCCCCCATGTGTTGGATTTCAAATCCCCTAATCCTTAGCCAACAAAGAGAAAATAGCTTTTTATAGAAATCTACACTTGTTTTTATACATGTTAACTACCAGACTCAGTAGCTTATATTCTAAAATAAGTTATTCATAGAAGAAAGGCTTCCTATCCTTCATCTCCATGCCCCCGAGGCAAACTTGGGGGTTGAGATACCCATGAATAATATGGGATGAGGTGGAACTACAGGGGGAAGGAATAAAAACTATACCTTCAATGAACTTGTTTAAGTTAACAGTAATTTAAGGCAAGGGATATAACAAAGTGCTCCTGTGGGTCAGATACTAATAATAAATGGAGGTGCATTAAAAGAGACACCAAGTCAAATGACAGATTTTAAAAAGCTAGAGAGGGTTGGAACTCATTAGTATTTGGATGGGAGACCACCAGAAAATGTCAGTGTTAAAGGCTAGGCTGGGAATTGTAAAAAAAAATGATTGGAAGAAGGAAATGGCAAACCACTTCATTGTGTGCCAGGAAAACTACATGGAGTGGTCATGAGATCACTAGGAGTTGAACTTGACTCAAAAGACTTTCTCTGTTGTATGTTCAAAATTTGAAGTGTGTTGGAGAAATATTATGTTATTTATATTAATTTGTAAGATTCATAAACATGGTGTTTAAATTCTGTTGTTGTTGTTTTTGCAAATTACAGAATGGGTACTTTACGAACCTTAACTTAGGATCCTCAAGACCCAGAATCCCCAATACAGCCCTTGTGGGTACCATATGTCCACAGATAACCTCCTTTGGGCCTGCTCACCTCTTTCTCCACTCTGTTTAAAATAAATATTTTAATTTTAAATAAAATTTAAAATCAGGTGGGCATGCCCTGAAGCAAACCACTGACTTTCCAAGTCACATTTCCCCAAATGTCATTGGGTTCCTCATAGGCCCTGAGGCATTCTCAATAAAAAGGTTGAGGGGCTGCAGCGCAGCACTTCATTGGTAAATGTGCCCACTTTCCCCCCCAAAAGTCAAAGATAAGGTAGAGGTTGATAATTCCCTGCAGGGAAAGAAGGTGGCACTGAGCAACCTTCCAGCAGGTGGATGTTGTATCATACAGGTGTTTTATCACAGATTATTATAATAAAGCGTTTATCTTTATTAAAAAGAAGCCGGCTAAAAGGCCCTCTGCTGGAGGTGAGGAGAGGACCTGCCAGTGCCTCA